AGGTAGCGTTGACTCCAAGATGTTGTCAACATTTATAGGTGCTTTCGAGTTTGTACTTAGCAAGGTTCTCGTCGGTCACCAGGTCAAAAAAAGATTGCAAACCAAAGGCCTCGGCTTTGACAATCAAAGAAGGAGGCTAGACCAATCAAAGGAATTCTGACAGTAATTCTGATTCTCAGTGTATTATTTAGAAAAGATTCAACTATACTGCCAAAGATTGCAGATTCAAGTGCAAGAACTGCAAAGTATCAAATCACTCTCAACGTGATTTCTGGTTCAAAGATAATAAGGCAAATAATTCAGAAGCAAAGAGAGGAGATAGCATGCTCTCTTGTATGAATATCCAACAAGAGTCAGAAAATACGTGGTATTTGGATAGTGGATGCAGCAATTATATGATTGGGAATCAAAAGATGTTTACAGAGTTGGATGAAAAAGTTTCATCTCAAGTAAAGCTTGATGATAGAAAGCTACATAACATCGAAGGCAAATGAATGACTGCAGTCTTCACAAAATGAGGTAACAAAGAATTTTTTTTACTGATATTTTTTATGTTCCGAGATTGACTCTGAATTTATTAAGCGTTCGACAACTGCTTCAAAAAGGATATAGAGTTAACTTTGATAATAGTGACTGCATTATTTCTAATAAAAAAATAAACTCAAATAATGTTTTTCCTCTTGTTATGCCACTGGATGAAATTCTTGCACTTTAAACTAAAAAAATCAAGGATTCCTATTTATGGCACTTTACATATGGGCATCTAAATTATAGATACTTGAGGCTACTGAAAGAAAAAGGTATGGTACATGGTATACCTTATATTGATAGAATTGATAAAGTATGTGAATGATGTATTTATGGGAAGATGCATTGACTACCACATCCAAAGACATCTTGGCGAGCTAAAGCACCACTATAGTTAGTACATGCTGATATCTGGGGGCAAGCACAACACCATCAGTTGGCAGCAAAAGATATATTCTTGTATTTGTTGATAATTATACTCGCATGATGTGAATTTAATTTCTCGAGCAGAATTCAAAGGTCTTCTCCAAATTTCTTGATTTTAAAGTTATGGCAGAAAGGCAAAGCGGCAAAAAAATTTAAAGGCACTTAGGACAGACCGTGGAGGAGAATTTATCTATATTCCATTCATGAATTATTGCAGAGAGAAAGGAATCAGAAGGCAACTTACAGTTTGACAATTATCTAAGCAAAATAGTGTGGCAGAAAGAAAAAATCGCACCATCGTAGAAATGGCAAGAAACATGCTTCAAGGCAAAGACCTTCCTAATAATTAATGGGCTGAAGCAGCCAACACAGCTGCCTACATTCTTAATTGATCTCCTACAAAGACGGTTCTAAACAAGACACCTTAACAAGCGTTGTTTCGTCAAAAGCCAAAGGTGGATCTTCTCAAAGTATTTGTATGTATTACATATGTCTTAATCCCTTCACAAAAAAACGAGAAGTTTGACAAAATGGGTGAAAAATTTATATTCATCGATTATAGCAGTGAGTTATTGTCTATATAACCCAGACAAAAATGAGTTGGTGATTTCTTGGGATGTCATATTTGATGAGATGGCAGCATGGCAATGGAAGGACAATCTACTCTAAGATTTTGGAGAATTTCAATTTATGAGCCTGCAAGAGTCCAAAAATCTACAAGTCCGCGAAGGAGTCCAAACTCAAGCTCAAGTCAAAGCTCTCAATCTACTCCAAACATGAGTCAAAACCCAAGTTCAAGTAGAGAATCTTCTGGAAGCACATCACCACATTTATTTGATTCTGAAACACCACCAAGAAAGGTACATTAATTGGTGGATATATATCAATCCTGTAATGTTGCATTTTTTGCGTGCGAGCCTCAGAATTTTGAAGCATCAAAAGAGGAGATATGGATAAAAGCTATGGATGAAGAAATTGCAAGTAGAATCGCATTTGGGATCTTGTTGACTTGCCTAAAGAAAAGGACACAATTGGACTTAAATGGGTCTATAAGACCAAGTACAAGGAAGATGGTTCTATTCAAAAGCATAAAGCTCGGCTAGTTGCAAAAGGTTGTTCACAACAGTCAGGGGTTGATTTCAACGAAACATTTTCCCCCCATTGTTCGGATGGAGACAATTAGGACAGTTCTAGCATTAGCAACACAACATGCATTACTAGTTTAGCAACTAGATGTCAAATTGATAATGGCGAACTTGAAGAGGAAGTATATATCGAGCAACCTCAAGGTTATCTAATCAAGGGAAATGAAGACAAATTTTATCGACTTTGAAAAGTATTATATGGATTAAAGCAAGCACCTCAAGCATAGTCTAGTAAAATTGACAAAAATTTTCAGCAAAATTGATTTAAAAGGAGCCAAAGTGAGCCATCCTTATATGTCAAGAATTGAGGTACTCAAGATTTCCTTATTGTCTATTTACGTGTTGATGACTTAATCTACACGGCACCAACCCAACAATAATTGAAGAATTCAAAGCAGCTATGATGAAAGAATATGAAATGACTAATTTGGGTCTTATGAGATATTTTCTCAGCATTCAAGTGAGACAAAGCAAATGTGAAATATTTATCTCTCAAAAAAAGTATCTTGAAGATTTGCTGAAAAGGTCCAACATGTTCAACTGTAAGCCAGTCTTTACTCCAATTGCCTCGAATGAAAAGCTACAGCAAAATGACGGATTGGAGAAAGTTGATGCTACTATGTATCGAAGATTGATGGGTTCACTCATTTATCTCACCAACTCCAGGCTAGACATTATTTATTTGGTCAGTCTCATCTCTTGATTTATGCATGATCCAAGCAAGCTACATTATACAATTGCGAACCAAATTCTATGCTATCTACAAGGTACCAAAAAAAATTGGCATCAGATATGTCAAAGAAAAGGAAAGCAATCTTATTGGCTGTACTAACAGTGATTGAGAAGGTTCACTAGATGATCGCAAAAGCATGTCAGGTTATGTATTTTACATGGGTTCAAAAATTATTTCTTGGAGTTCTAAAAAACAGATGAGTATTGCATTATCATCAACCGAAACAGAGTATATTGTAGCTATAGATGCAGCATGTGAAGCAATTTGGCTTAGAAGAATTCTTTCAGACATTGAACAAGAAAATGGAGTTCCTGCTACAATTTATTGCGACAATATGTCAGTAATTGTAATGAGCAAAAATCCAAGATTTCATAGTCAGACGAAGCATATCAAGTTGAGACAACATTTTATTAGAGATTTAGTTCAAAAAGGAGAATCACAACTTTACTTCGTCAACACAAAGGAGTAGTTGGCAAATATTTTTACAAAACCCATACCATTAGAGAAATTCTATCAATTTTTGCAATCCATGAAAATTACAAATTAAGAGGTGTAAAAAGTAATTTGTAATTTCATTTGTAATAAATAGGCTTCCAAAATAGTTGAGAAAGAATAATGGCGGTGTCGTCCGGGCTTGCTAGAAGCCGGTAGAACTTGGAAGAATTCTTAACTATGAAGATTAGCAGTAAATACTTACAGCTGGAGCTGATTAGCTAGAAGAAGCCTTACGAAAAACAGCTAGATAAAATTAGCCATGAAGCTAGAATGTTATTGGTTAGATTGCATCATCTGTGCAGTTATGAAGCTTCCCGGAAATGCAGAGTCGACTTCAACATTATTGAGATGAGGGACTTAATTTCTACTGGATAGATCACACACACTGGCTTGGCATGATGAGTTGGCTAAGTAGCCTATAAATAGGCTTATAATATTTTAGCTATGCGTTGCATAAGAGCATCTCCAACAGATGCTTCAAATGCCCAAAATAGACAAATTTTAACTAATCAAAGCTAAAAACAGCACTCCAATAGATTATCTTCATATGCTGTAAAATAGATTTTTGCTACAATGATGCTCTATCATCACCGTAGCAATATGTAAGCATAATATATATTATTTTCTCACTCTTCCTCACATTTCTTCAATTGTCTCTCTTTCTCCCTTTCACTATTCCTAAAACATATAATATAAAAGGGATTATAAATAATATTTAAAAGGACTAGTTAAAAATATAGAGAGTCTGATAGAGTGTGTATTAAAAAAATGAATAGCTAAAATAAAAAAATTATTTTTTGAGTAGCTAAAATAGCTATTATTGTCGGAGATGTTCTATGTGTATATGAGAGAATCGAGAGATTCTATGCGTAATCATTAAACTTTTATTAGAAAATTCAATAACGCCCCTTTCCTTTAGAGCAATGATCACTTTATATTCTCTTGTTTTCTTGTGTTACACTTTGCACCCCAACAATGGTATGTAATTGGGATGGGCAAACCATTCGTGCTCTAGCGGAATCTAGAGATTGCCGCACATTAGGTGCTCGTTTAGTTTTCAAGAGAGCTCTATTTGAAAACCTCAGGCAATTCAAGAGGAAGGCATATGAGAAACCTTACCAGAGATTTCCTTAATTGGTATGGACTCTTTCTAAAATAAAAGAGAAAGGCCGGCCATGAAGGGTAGAAGCTAAATGAAAAACAAGGATTCTTTTAATCTATAGATAGCAAACTTAGCCTTTAATTGAATGAAAAGCATGATTCGATCCATAAGTTGTGAGGTCATAGTGTAAAAACTCTAGTATATGACATATAAACCTTTACAGATTATTTGATCCTCCAGAAGAGTACCGAACCATAGTTCTTGATGGATTTCTTTGATTGGGATGTGTCAATCAAATNACACTCTAGTATATGACATATAGACCTTTACAGATTATTTGATCCTCCAGAAGAGTACCGAACCATAGTTCTTGATGGATTTCTTTGATTGGGATGTGTCAATCAAATAATAAGTTGGTAAGTGGACTGTTGAGATTGGTTCATTGATCACTAGCAAAATCGAAGCTATTATGGATTTCAGTATTAGGTCAAGAGACGAGGAAAATGACAATTCTAAGAGATTGATGTTGTTTCATTCTCATACGTGTTAAGTCGATTCTAGTGAATTTTATATGAAACGGTAATAGTTTTTCAAGAATAATATTGTATGGTTCAAACATATTTTTCTAAGTGTAAATACGAGAGTAATGCTAAAGTCCAATTACACACCAAGTCCAAAACCATACTAAACCCAATAGGTCTCTAAGTTAATTACCTCATTTACACCACCGTTGGATGACAAGGATAGAACTCTGAATGTAGCAATTTAGCTTCAATCTCAATCAGGAAATTTGAGTTTTTCTTGTCATTGCTTCGTTTAAGGTCAACCTAATCTCGTGTGTATTAAGTAATCCTGAGAATGAAGCAAGGCAACTAGAGCCTGATCTACCTAGTAGAAATTGGGAAGTACCACCACCACCAAATGCACCGATGGTGAATGAGGAAAGACAAAACCTAGTTGATCTAGGAGAGCCCGGGAATAGACAAATGATAGTTTTGAAAGAATTTATGAAACAATGTCCACCAATATTTCAAGGAATGATGAAGCTGTTGGATGTGGAAAGCTATCTCCGACAAGTAAAGAAATTTATGGATGCAATGAAAATCCCANTTGTCATTGCTTCGTTTAAGGTCAACCTAATCTCGTGTGTATTAAGTAATCCTGAGAATGAAGCAAGGCAACCAGAGCCTAATCTACCTAGTAGAAATTGGGAAGTACCACCACCACCAAATGCACCGATGGTGAATGAGGAAAGACAAAACCTAGTTGATCTAGGAGAGCCCGGGAATAGACAAATGATAGTTTTGAAAGAATTTATGAAACAATGTCCACCAATATTTCAAGGAATGATGAAGCTGTTGGATGTGGAAAGCTATCTCCGACAAGTAAAGAAATTTATGGATGCAATGAAAATCCCATCAACTTTGCGAGTAGCTTAACAACCTATTTATTTGTAGGGGAAGCGGATCAATGGTGAGAATTGGTGAAAGAGAAGCAACTGAAGGAATGACTTGTGATAGATTTGAGAAAATCTTCAATATGGTAAGCATTTGAGTGAGAGTATACGAGATAATATAGGTTTGAATTTTCTTAATTTCTAGCAAAATACCATGGCAATAGTTGAGTACAAAGCATGTTTTACGGATTTATCTCATCATGCTGGTGATTATATTGTAATTGAAGCAAAGAAAGAAAAACGTTTTTAGCAAGGGTTACAATTAGCAATTTGGGAAAGTATTTGTCCACTCCAGATGAAGTTATGGTGAATTGGTGGTGATAGCTACTATTGTGGAAAAGTAATTCCTATAGAAATGTAACGCCCCAAAACACACCCTGGACGACATTACATTCTAAAATCATTCATATCATGAGAGCACTAATATAATCCCTTAAGAAACAAGACTTCATTTGTCATCCACGAATATTTACAACTTTATCCAAAAGAATAAGCCCAAGTCATGACTATTACATCTCAAAAATTAATTAAAGAAGTGCAGCGGAATAAACAAAAGAAGCTAGATTACACAATGTTCCAAAAGAATGTCATAGTCTAGTACAAAAGGAAAGGAGGTCGTTCTATGCGTCCACCTCAGGATCCACACTCCCGTCCAGTGGAGTCTCCCAAGTAGCGGGCTCCTCGATCCTTACGTCCTCCTCCTCAAGCGGGTAATCTGAAAAATGTTAACAGTAAGGGGTGAGTACGAAGCTCTGTAGAAAAATTCTCCCAAACCCATACAAGGTTTAGAAAAACATTTAAAATGGTCGATCTCAATTTTAACATAACAGAGATACATAATTTGAAATAAAACAGTGACATTTAAAAATGATCTCAAGTTTATTTAAAAACATTACTTAAATTAATAAACGAGCACCACATACAAATAACAACCATTAATTGTCATAACCAACTTTTAACAATTCTTTTGGTAGGTGGTATAATTTGTGGTAATCTCCACCCCCCTTTAGGTCACCTTTGATTCTCAAGCATCATTACCGGGAACCTCTTGAGAATGGATGAGCATCATTACATGAAACCTCTCACCAATCACTACATTGTTTCCCAAACATCTTTACCGGGAACCTCTTGGGAAGGGGTGAGCATCTTTACAAGTCATCTCTCACTCATGTGCATCACAAATAACCCAACCAAGCATACAATTCCAACATTTATCTCAATTTACAATCATCAATCCAAAATCTCCAAAATATATCATGTAACAATTCCACAACCAACTAAGAAAATACATGAGATCACAATAACATCATTTTTCTATTCAACACCAAGCACTAAGGTTTCAAAATCCATAATAAAGAAAGCATTTAGGAAGAAAATATACCACTCTTCAAAAATTAGGATTTTAAAATTAGAAAGGAGATTTCATTGGTATTAAACCCTATTTTGTTCAAAACGTGTAATTCTTGCAAAAAGCCTAAGAGAGAATGATTCAATAGTATATATATACCATTGATAGCCAAAACATAAATATATAAATACCCTAGCCTCAATGTAAGTAAATAAGAGAAAACTCTACCTTAAATCCTTAGTTTGTAAGAAGAACTTGAGTTTTAATCTTGAATCTATCCTTAAATCTCTTGTCTTTCCCTTAATTTCTTCCTCTCTAATGCTCTCTAGGGTTCCAAGAGGTGTGGGGGTGAGAGTGGAGTGAAAGAAATAAGGGCAAATGGGGTTTAAAACACTTCAGCCCCGAAATTCACTGTTCACAGCTTATTTTGGTTTTCTCCAAAATTACGGTTTTGCCATTAAGAATAACCAATTTGATTCATATGACTACTCTAAGATTTTTCGACGTTTCAGATTCATTTTTAAAGTTATTTTAACCTAAAAATATTTATTTTTATGATTTATCTCAAAACCAAAGTCAACGTACATCCAAAATACTAAAGTTTCTATTTTACCCATCCGAACCGGCTATTAATGAAGTTTTGTATTGTTTGCAAATAAAAGGTGATAAAGGGTTCTTCTTAAAGCATTTTATACTTATTTGAAGCCTAAATGTACTCATTATTCTTATATTTTGATTTAGGATGCAAATGGAGACGTTAAATGCAAAACGAAGCTAATTGGACTGTTTTGACATCGTTTCGTTATCTGGGCATAACTCTCTCATCCGAGCTCCGATTACGATGATTCAAGATGCTATAGAATGATAAGAAATAGCTCTAAAACCTTCATGTTTTTGGTTTTGAGAGATCTTGACTGCATCAAGGTCTAAATCGGGCTTGAAGTTGCAGCCAGTGTACTATTCAAGCTAATTGGGCTGTTTTGACATCACTTCGTTATCTGGGCATAACTCTCTCATCCGAGCTCCGATTGAGATGATTCAAGATGCTATGGAATGCAAAGAAATAGCTCTACACCTTTCATGTTTTGAGTTTGGAGAGATATTGACTGCATCAAGGTCAAAATCGGGCTTGAAGTTGCAGCCAGTGCACTATTCACGTCCTGTTTCATCCCTTTTCCATTTCCAATCCATTCCTAAGCCAACCAAATCCATCCTAAACCTCTCCAACACATATTTCTACACCAAAACTATTTAATACAAGTTCTAGGACCTAAAATTTCATATTTTCACTTATTAAAATTAAGTTTCAACTATTATTTTCACTAACATTTTAAATCTCTACTTTTCCAATCTACCAAATTCAAACACACATCACTACACATATCCACATTTTTACCACAATTATTTACTATATATCTATATACGTATATAAAAAAAATGCGGGGTTTTACAGGAAAGGGGTTAGTGAAAAGTAGTAGCGACATAGAGGTACTAAGGTGAGCGGATTAAATGGACCCCAGAGGAATAATCTTTATAAAAGACCAGCGAATAACAGTAATGGAGGAACAATTTAGTGAAGGTCAATATAAGGTAAAGAATCCTCCAAGCCGTATTGCTTGTTATCACCCTGGAAAGGAATGACATATGAAGAATCGATGTCCAATGCTGCAATGAACAGGACAAAACATTTATCAGCAATTTTAGGTAGATGAAAGTTCACGACCACCATAGAGGTTGGGTCAATTGCCAACTCAGAATCAATAGAGCAAAGATCGGAGATAAGAATTATTGATTCCCTCTACTGTTAATTTCTTATCCACGAATTAAAGAGGGAGGGATGGTTTCTCAAGCTTCAACTCTCAAATTTGATTGCTATAATAATATAGATAGATAAATTTAGATCAGCTTTCAAATCAGATTCAGATTGAAAAATCAATACGTTGACATTCTTAAGTAGGGCTTGGATAAAAAACAATGCAGTTCAGAATATTAATCCACATATACACATTTTCATAACTCAATCATTAATTTTGCGAGTCACTTCCATTGATTTATAGTGCTAAACTCCTTTTTCTCATCAAAGAGATCCCTAGTTCCTGACATCCAATTGATAGTAATTTGGTGTACACTTATGAGGCCAAATAAAAAGTTTGTGTAAAATGATCACAATAACTGTTTTGTTTCTTTTGGGGGCATGAATAAAATTTATGGAACAGTCAACATAAGAACATGTGACCATCGGTAAAGAACTTAGAAGTGCGAATTGTGATTATTATAAAAGTTTTTGAGTGTTAGAAAACAGAAGAAGCTAAGAATATTCAGGAATTGTGAAGAAATCAAAATAATAAATGAAAATACGAAGAACTTGCGATGTGGCATGTAGGTTTTGGGGTCCAGTTATGGTACTGCAGTATAACTTTTCAGTATCTTATCAAAAAATCAATTCTACTTGATTTTGGTCTAAATTATTTCTAAGGGTTTTGATTTTTTACAAGAAAAGAATAGTGAGTGAATACTCTCCACCTTTGTCTATATAAGGAGAATATTAATAGAAGAAGTCTCAAGTTTAAACTCAGCCGGGGCACAAGAGAACTTCATTATCATCTGGTTAGAGAGAGAATGAGGTCTACCAAAAACACTTTTTGATCCTCATTGATACTTTTAAGAGGTGATATTGATTAATTTGGAAAGATTGATTATAGTTGGCAATCTATGTTGCTGATTGGTAGGTACTGTGTTTTTTTTTTCCTTGTTAAACATTCATTTTCCCCTATTCTGATTTTAAAATCTAGAAGAATGGCCATCCATTTTCCCCTCTTTTTTTAGCAGTTGTGGTTGTTATATATCTGGTACCATGGTGTATACTCCTTCTGAATGCCTTTTCAATCAATGGTATATTACTTATACACTACAAGAATAAAAGGCAAAGCTTTTATCGTCATTTGTGCGATGTTTTCCACAACCATCGCCAAAACTTGCATCGGAGAAAGTCCCAACGTTTATTAAAATGCCTGCAAAGCACCTTAATATGAAAAACTCTTCATTCACTATTTTGCCCTTATAAATAACTACAAAAACTAACATGTCTTTTTGTATTTAAATATACAAATTACCATTATATCTCTTTGTATTTGAAGAACAAATTAGTCTCTAACATATCATGCAAATCTCCCTATTTTTGCAAAACTTTTGAATGATCATGTTATGCTTAATGTGATATATAAAACAACATTATTCTTTTATCTCTAAACCCTAATATTAATACACGTTGACAACTCCATTAATACAATATCATCTCTAATATCCAAAAACGAATATATTTATCTTATCTCTTCATTCACAATGAAAATAATTAATTGAACAATTACTGATGCACAAAGTAAAAACAAGAAAGACAAAAAGAAACAATATAGAGAAAATAAAAATGTATACACCTTACAATTTGGTAGCTGGAATGAAAGAATCACAGAAAATGAGTTCATTTGATGTTTTATATTTATGAAGATAATACAAACACTTTAAGTATGATAAATATGAGATAATATCTAATGTAGATAAATAATTAAATTTTTTTATATATTTTATCAAATGTTTCAACAAAATTTTTTTTTGTCGTGCATTGCTAGTAACTTCAA